TGGTGCACTCGCTGATATGGTGCACTCGCTGATATGGTGCACTCGCTGATATGGTGCACTCGCTGATAAAACACGTTATTAGGTTTTTGAAAATAGCATCATCTGATGAACCTTCCTTTTGTTTACCTTTTTCCGGTAAATCGTCATCTGAAGCATCAGTTCTCTAGTAATATGACTAAAATACTAAATGACTGCATATTTGAATTTATTATATCTAGAGCTTTATTATATATGTCGGGGTCTATGGCAGAGACCCTCTGAGGCCATGAGGGAGAGAGTACTTCAGCAAGTAGTTGCGCAGCAATGCAACGATCGTTGCATTGGCAGATCTTTTAGTCTAATTAGCAAAGGGGTTTACTGCGCAGTGTCGCGAACCAACTATATATCGAGGCCTGGTGGGGCGACGGAAGCCAATGAAAAGGAGTAACACCAGGGGAAAGCTGAGATAGGGCCTGCAAGAGGGATCACCGCCGAGGCAGTGAGCGTGGTGAGCGGCGCACCAAGATCACCGCCAAGAAGGTGATCGCAGTGATCGCAGGTACGGAGGTACCTGGTGGAGGAAGCTGTATATAGTCTACGATCTTTAGGCCTACGGGCATCACTGTAGCTTCCTCAGTAAGCAACTCAAGTGCAAGATGTCAGTACCTTTGGACATTGCTTGTTGTGAACCCTTTGGCTTCACCGAACCTCACCCCGTTGATAAGTTATAACCTTCAGGAGTCCCTTTTAGAAGTTGGGGCTTCGAGATTCGTCACACACAGCCTCTAACAATATATTACTTTTAAACTTATTTGCAGTATATATAGCTAAGAAAGTTGCAATTTTAACTCATAGCTATATCAATTATCTATCAATATAATACCTTAGTATTGATATATTGAGTAGGAGGCCTGTGTGAGAGACAAGTGGCATCAAGGCGAGGCACTGGGCGCTGCAAATACCAACTCAATTCTGTTAATCGAAAGCTAAGGAAATGAAGAGGGAGTTGTTGGGCAGCCAACAGTTACATGCTCAAGTAAGCTTAGATCAACCAAATGGTATTGAACAGATTGAGGTATGAAACGAAGCTTGAATTGGAGTCACGATTCCAGAGTGACCACACAAAATGAAGGATCAAGATAGTGGGTTTGGGTGCCTCAGAATGTTCTTTTTTTTTTTGGACCGGAAATTGTCCTCTCTAATCCTCCCAGGGGAATTACCCCCTTATATAGAGACATCGTGCCATGATATGACGCTATGTCAGGAACTGTGTCATTGTGATGGATCTGTGCTGACTGAGAGTCTCGCATTGACCATCAGTGCTCAGTCCGTGAATCTTGGTGCCAAGGAACCCACTCAGTTCAACAGGAGTGTCACGGCGATTGCGCCGTGCCTGCCAGGACCCACGGGTGGGACCCAACGTGTGGGGGCTGTTGAACTGAACTGGCTCCTTGGCACCTGGATTCAGGGGCTGGGCACTGTTGCCCAATGCAGTAAGCGTGGAAGACTCGTCACCCACCCAAAAGCAGGGTCTGGCGAGGGTCCCGAAGCCCTCAGTTCTTTAAGCAACACACACACAGGACACATGGTTCAGACAGCGAATTCAAGCTTCATCTTGTGCCTCAATTGATGCAGTATCACCTGGTTGGTCTATGCCTATTCGAGCCTGTAATTGTTGCTGTCCAACAGAACGCCCACACCAATACAGTACGCGATGTATAACGGGATGAGACCACAACACGCTGCATGCCTTCCGACTAGACGAGTCCTTCATTCACTTCTTAAACACAGCTAAACCCAACCTCTCAATCTCCCTACCCTCGGTGGTACCCCGTCCCGCAGCCTCGAGCAACCTGCTCCAAGCCTCGATATCCTTCATCTTGACAGCCTCCTCGGCCGCCTTGACGCGCATCCCACACTTCTCGTACATGGTGATCGTCTGGCCCCGCTCGAGGCCCGTACACTTGGGTATGAAGGTCGCTGCCAGGCGGGGATTGCCCGCTTGGAGAATCTGGTTGAAGAATGGCTGTATTTTTTTTTCGTTAGCCCTGAAAGATCGAAAGGGAACGAAAGGAGTCTAAGCGAAACGTACCACCCAGCCGATGGGGCTTTTGCGTTGGCGAGAGATTTCTTCCAGCTCGTTCCAGTCGCGCTTTGCGACCAGTGCTTGGAGTCTAGTTTGGCTCTGATGTCAGATGTCATGACATAGAGAAGGGCGAAATAGGAACGAGGGTGGTACTTACCGAATCCACCAGGCCACCTTCTCTGGTACTTTGAACTCGTTCTGGATCTTCTTTGCCCTGCCGTGGTATCCAAGCCGGATCAGCTTAAACATGGTTTGGTTGACCGACAGCCCGGTGAAGTTGTCAGTCAGATCGCGGTCAAACACCTCCTGCATCCGCAGGAGCGTGGACGCTTCCTTGAGAGCACCCAGCTCAAACGCATGCTCCTTGGCGTTGTCCGAGAGGAGCTTCGTTGCCAGCGAGAGCTTGTCACTCGTCGTCCGACTTTCAGGCTGGCGCAGGGCTTCGCGGAGAAACACAGCTGCCCCGTCCAGGCGGCGGTCGTCCTGGTAATACAGGTCCTTGAGCAGCGTGGTATCTTCACGGCCATCACCACCATCATCGCCCTGGTGCGCAGCCGCCTCGACCAGGGCAGTGGCGGTGGGCCGGCTGTTGATGACGCGGAAGAAGCCTGCCAGGGGCAGCTTCCGTTTGAGCTGATGCAGGACAAAGTAGACCAGGTCGGTGTCACCGCTCTCGATGGCCTTGTCCAAAGCCAGCTCGTCTTCTTCCATACTCAGGAGCAAGGGCACCTGCCGGCCAGCGCGTGGCTCGTGGTTGAGCAACTCCGTGGCTAGCCGGCCTCTTCCTTCATCATATGCGGCACGAGCGATTGTCTCGAAGGATATGCCGGGCTTCCCTGACAGCTTCTCGACGATCTTGCGGCAGATGGCGTCGTCGTCCTCGGAGCCCAGTCGTACCTTGGCGGAGGCCCAGTGTACGTAAATCTTATCAGTGGGTAGCCGGAGGTAGCCAGCTATCCGGAGGGCTAAGAGGTATTCGTGACGATTAAGGAGACGGGAAATGAGCCCTGATGGCGTGAGACGCTGGTACTGCTCGTACGATAGGGGCAGTCCAATCTCGAAGAAGCGGACGGCGTTCAGGACTCGCAGGGTCTCACACATATCCACAAAGTCATCACTATTGTAGAAGTCGAGAACGGATTTGCCAAAGGAAGCGGCCTTGAGCAGCTGTTTCTGCCAATGGACGCTGAACTCCTGACCAGCCGCGTTGATGCAGGTGTCTACCGCTTCCACGAGGTTAGGTCTGATTAGGCGTATGTTGTCGTCAGCTTTTGGTGAGTTCAACTCCAGCTGCTCGACGGCGTCCAGGAGAATGGATGCAGAGGAATCCGCGCCAAGGCGGAACACCTCTTCGGTAACATCTGGTACTCGGTGGAGAAAGTCACAGGTGTCATTGGCGACTATTCGGACCCCGTCATAGTCTGCGGTGTGGTTAGCGGAGAGGAGGATCAGCGAAGCAATTGTGGTGTCGGAATAGTTACCGGGGACAATGTGCACTCGACCGCTATCATAGAAGAACTTGGCAAGGGAACCACTTGGGCCAACGAGGTGAACCTCGTCCTCCCACGCAACGACGACGGCGTCATTGCCGCACCACTCAAAGTACTTGGGTGGGATCTTGGACCTAGAGTCATGCTCGCTCAAGCGGTCCTGGAAGTCACTTGTGATGACATGGGCCTTGCCGGTCGACGTGTATAGGGCGCAGTACCGCCCATTCGGCGACACTGCGATGTGGGTAAACGGGCCGATGTCCAAAAAGCGATCCTCGCACTCGGTAGCATCCGACACGTAGATGGTTTGATTAATGCTGAGGAGCACCTCGACGGAGCGCGAAAGGGTGTAGGCGGGCGGGATGATGTTCCACGAATGAACCTGTCCCTCTGGGACCGGCGCAAGGAGCTTTGGACGAGGCTCGGCGTACGACGAGACGGAGACAAGGGAGTTGTTGTTTAGGAGAGCGACAAGGCCATGGGCGTAAAACCTGCAGGACTTGACCCCGGCCTCGTCGGCGCCATTTCCCAACGAAAACTGCGTGAACTCTCCCTGCAAATCATAGTAACACCTCACAGTGCCGTCTCCAGTGACTACGAGGAGCTTCTCATCCTCAGACCAACCCAACCCTTTGATGGGCCCCTGATCCCAGTTGATGCGGCGGAGAAGCTTGCCGGCGCAACTGTAGATGTCGATGCTGGGTTTAGAGGGCCGGTTTTGTTGGAATGCAATCAGCTTTTCCTCATCGCGGTAGAGAGCTGCCGTGGTGTCAGCCGGTGACAGTACAACAGACATATATCCATCCATTCACTCACCAATGGCGCCAGCATAGGGAGCTCCGGCAACCAAATAGTGGTCGAGGTCCAAGTCCTGGTCGAATATTTGGGTGTAGAGCTGGATCTTGCGGTAAAAACGCTCACCGAGCTGTTCCCAGCCTGCTGTGGGATGAGCGACGTCCATCGTGTGTCATGTTTCCATGCTGGGTTGTGAATGGTATGAGCTCCCAATCGTGACTCTGGACTGGGTTGTCTGGTAATGAGACGCTAGGTGAAGCTTGGAAGTCGAGGTACCTGAGGTAACACATGGCCGTGCCCCCGGAACTCCTAGGGTTAGGGGGTTCACTTCACGGGTGCCACCTCAGCTCATTACCCCTGCCAGGCAGTGGATTAGCTGAACCTCGGGGTACGATAACCAACGTTAGGACCCGGGATGACGATAAGCTCGAGCACCTTGCATTCGTCATATACCCAAAAGTCATCCACGGTTCTCGGCTGCTTGTTTGTCTTTTGTCTAACTTACCATTCTTTATGTGTGACCTGGTCTACCTTCTTTAACTGTCATAGAAAACCATGCCCGACTGGAGACAAGAGTATCTCGCCGGCATCCGAGATGCCGAGACGCAACAATCCGTTGATCGAGAGCTTATCGCAGCATGTCAGTGACAAGCCGCGCCGTGGCATTCCTTGCGCACCGCCTCGATGAACCAGTGAACGCTTGACAGTGGACGCTGACCACCATTCCAGACTCGCAACTGCTCGACCGCGTCGCCGTCCTCGAAGCTGAAAAGGCAGCCCTCCAAGCACAGACTCAGCAGCCCCACGCAGCGCTGACCAAACCGAGGGCCTCACCAGCACCAACATCACCATCCCCAGGTCCCTCCGCGGACGACACGCCCCTCGTATCCCGCCTCCGTCTTGAGCTAGCCGAGGCCCTCCGCTCAAAGGGCCAATTTCAGCAGCGCCTTCAGGCAGCGGACGAAGAGCTCACCCGTCTGCGGGCAAAGACGGCATCCGACTCCAAGGCGCTGCGCGATCTGACCGCCGAGCGACGCTCCCTGGTTGTCAAGCTACGAGATCGCGAGGAGGAGCTCCGAGTCAAGAACAAGCTTGTCGCCGACGTGCAGGACGAGCTGGTGGTGCTCAACATGCAGCTCGACATGGTGGAGAAGAAGCGCGCCGAGAAGGAGGCCGAGAACAAGCAGCTTGTCGAGAGATTTATGAAGCGGATTGGACAGGAGGCCGAGGCCATGAATCTGGCGAACGAGCCAGTTTTCCCCAAGAAGAGCAGGGGAGGTGGGAAAGCAAGTTGAGAGCCCGCCGAACCCATCGGTTGACGACCCTCTAGCTTGGCCCTTGCACGGCGACCCTTAGTGACTGCTGAGTTCAGAAGTGGTATCTCGAACAAGGTACGTACTCTATGATCTATCCGCTCCATCTTCCGACCCCGCCTGCCCTTCCATGCTTGACCTCCCAAAACCTACTCAGAAAACCATACACAAACACACACCGCTGTAAGGGGTACTCGTTCGTCTTCGCGGACCGCGTTCTCCAAAGAGCGGCTTCAACCAACCCGTACTCCTGACAAATCCACCTAGTAAAACCAACACACTGCTGACATATGCAAGCAGCAAATTACTTTCTCGTCGAAATACAAAACGTGCCCGGCGCTGCGGTCCAACTGACATGCTCCGCTGGGTACGTCAGATGCTCGACTTCCAGAATAGACGACGCAACATCGTTCTCGGCGATCTTGTTGTCGTGGACAAAGGTCTTGAGCGATACGATCTTGCACCCAATCTTCAGGTCCAAAAACATGTTGACGAGGTGGTCGTTGAGCTGCGACGTGAAAGCCTGGTTATTTACCAGCACCACGTCGGCTCTTTTTAGCGCCGCCAGTGTCCTCTCGTTCTTGCGAAAGTCGCCCCGTTCAAGATGGACCTTGCCCGGCGCAATGCCCCACAGGCGACAGCGGGCCGTGAATTCCTTATTCTGCGCCTCGGCGAGGTTGCACGCATTCTCCATCATCTCGCAGCCCCAGCTCTCGCACCCTCTTTCCAACGCCGCATGGAGCGCCACGTTGCCGACGCCCGAGCCGAGGTCCACGAATACCATGTCGGAGCTTAGCTTTGTCCGGTCGAAGATGTCGGAAATAAAGGGGTGTAGCAGCTCGCCATAAACGTTGTCAGTGCCGTTCTCGTACTTGGCGAGCAGCTCGACTTTGGGCGCCACAGTGCGGTCATACACTTGGTCGAGGATAAAGTCGACCAACTCCCGGGGAATGCCGCGCATCGCATCGATGTTTTTTGCGATGACGCCCTTCATCTGCAGGGCCAGTAGCTGGTCGTTGTACTCGGTCAAAGCCTCCTTGAACCCCTTTCCGTCCTTTGTGTTTTTGCTCTTTTCCAGCCGGCGGTATATGCCGTTGTCCTGGTCCAGGAACGGTTTCGCCTCTTGGTCGGTAAGGTACGTTGAGGCTACCAACTTGACCACCTTCATGATATCCAGCGCGCCGTCGATCTTGTCCTTGCCCCAGACCAACTCGTACCTTAAGACAGTCAGCACTTCAGCAAGTTCCTATGAACCGGACGAGGACCGCGCTTACCGCTCTGGATATTTCGCCCCAGGATACCGTAGCCTCACCACGACCTCGTCCGGTGTGAGGTACATCACAGGCTGGCATCTATCCGCTAGCGATGCCACGTCCGCGGCATGCACAATGCCCGGTTTGTCCTCCTCCCCCTGCCCGCTCCATAAACTCGGATGTCTCAACCGCCGGTCCGGATCTTCGGTATGCGCTCGCTTCCGCCGCTTGCTCGGATCTACCCTGTCGCGCCAGTCATCCTCGTCGTCAGACCCAGGCTCGGAGTCGCTGAGGGCCGGGGCGGGACTAGCGGTCGCCGGGGACCGGCTGTTCGCGGGACCGCGGCGCTTTCGGCTCTGGCTTAAAGACGACTTGCTCTCCGGAGAGGAGGATGAATATAGGCGCTTCGCATGGAGAGAGGACGGGATGGGGGATGCGCGGGTGCTGCCTGGGACGGAGAGGGAAGGGCGCGAGGCATTCGCGACGCCGGCGGGCTTCTTGAGCGGGGCTGGCTCGACGGCTTGCTTGACTTTGCGGACTTCGGTCTTGACCTTGAATTTGGACTTTTGGTTGAATATGCTCATTATCCCCCGAGTTTACAGGTAAAAGGCGCTGCTGTGGCTGGATCTATTCTTCGTTTCGCAAGGTTTCGGATGCGCGGAAAGGTCGAACGAGTGACGCGGTCGGCACGCGACTGAATGGATCTATCGGCTAAGGGCACGCTGGTACGCTCTCGCGGCTGGAAAAGAAACAGAGTGCTGAATAATGCTTGTGATAGTACGTAAAGAGAGCGAGGGAATAGGGTAGAAGAAATCACGGGCGTGCTAAAAGATGCGACGTGAAAACGAGGCTGCGGGGTTGCGACAAAGAGATGCAGGTTGAAGCGACGCCTGAGGCTGTGAGCAAAGACTGGAGAAGCCTTGGCGGCTGTGGTGAGGTCGGACCCTTGCAGAGACGGAAGCCTTGCCTGCTGTGGGGCCCTTGCAATCTTGGCGGCGCATCATGACCATGGAATGATCTGCAAGTCATGCGATCGAGTCCGAATGTGAACCACTGTTCAAGCAGCAAAGGTCTCTGGTGAACTCTTGAATGTGAGCCGTCAGCAAGATAATGAGTGTATCATCTTCAGGCCGTCCACCGACTTGACAAAGAGTTATCAGTAGGGCAATGGCTCCAGCCAATCGTACTTCTCGGGGTTTCTTCTGACAGCGGTGGGAGGATTCACTGGCAGCATACATTATGAGCGGAAAGCTCTGTAGTCAGTGAAGCCTATGAGGTAGTTATTCAAGAAGCCGAGCCAAACAGCTGTGGATTCAGGACACAGCAAGTTTGTTGTTGGTACCCTTGGCGGTTAACAGTGGAAAGCAAGCGACAACCGAGCCAAACAGCAAAGAAGAACATTCCCACCCAAGGCACGGAAACCACCTCGCTTCAGCGTGGGCACTCAAGGACCCCATGGATATTGGGGAAACGTCCTCCCCTGCCCTTGGCAGCGATTCTTGGCTCAGCTCTGATGAGTAAGAGCCTGGCGGTCTGCTGCATACACGAGCCACCACCTTCCTACAAACTGTCAAATGGGACTTGCTCGCCGGCATTGGGGCAACGAAAAGGGGCGGGATATCGTGCCGCTACGATGAGAGGTCCTTTATCACGATCCCGACACCGACGACTTCTACATTGGGTCTGGACTCAAACGAGGAGAAGCACTTGGACGTCGTCCACCGAGTACTCCGATGACTTGATCGACCATCTACTCCGATCCGCCTCGACCAGAGACGATCTCAAGCAGAGCCAATCCTTCACGCTTCCGTCAATCATGGGCCACTTGACGCGCATCCGTGGCGAGGAGAAGACAGGCCCTTTCCGCTTGACAAACCGCGATCTTGAGGCGCACAACATCCTGGTGGATGACGACCTCGACATAGTAGGTGTCATTGACTTTGGCGGCGTTATGGCCGGCCCGTTGGAAGTCGTCGCGCAATACCCGGTCCTCTCTTTTCTCGACACAGAACCGCCTGGTGCCACTTATACTGCCCCGGCGGAGATTGAGCGGGTCATACGCACAGCGTCGAAGCTCCAGGAGTGTAAAGACCTGCGCATGATATTCGAGTCAGACACAGTGGAGGGGGAAGCAAGGTCGTTGACATGTTGGGATCGACAGCGGCCAGCGCATACAAGGGATTGCTGGCTTACTCACAGCATCAGGTTCATGTGAACGACAAATGAATGAAGGCTTTTGTTTGAAGATGGTACTGGAGTAGGCTGAAAGGCGTACTAATTAGGGCATCCACACGGTACAGTGCCGTTGTCCAGCTACTGCGAGCTAACACTACGGGTCGTGCTTCTTTTGGCATAAAGTCAGCTTGGATGTGGGGAGACCATCGACAACCTTCAGCTCTAGACCCAACCTAATCTATCCGACGGCTCGGAATCAAACCAAGGTGGGACAAGATGGAGATTACAGAGTCTCGAACGTAACGAGCCATCGGCCAGCAGCTAATTCAGCCGAAAGGTTGCAACAGAGACCCAGGCTGCACCTTCAAGGAAATGGAAAGCTGAGGACGGCGTGCGCTGCAGCGAGCCACGATCATTGAAGAGGCGAAAATCAAGCAGCCAGCTTACATCGAAACACGACCCGCCACGATCAAGAAGAACCTGCCGCTCTGGACAGGCCGCAAATCGCTGCCCTCGGAGAGAAGCGACTACACCAACGACTGCCGGCGACTCCTCGGCTCGACAAGTTGCAGACACATAATCCAGTCGGCTCATAGGGAGGGAAAGTACCAGAGACACAGAAAGTAATGTTCAGAGCCCCAACAGGGGGGAGGGTGGGGGCCCGCGACGAGTGCTCGAGAGGGTTTAAGTTCGGGTTGAGATCGAACATCTGGGGCCGTTTCGTGCGTCTACCGTTTGGTAAGGTATGATACGGCAAGGCGAGGATACAAAGAAAACCGGACTAGATAACGGCTGGTGGTGGCTGCGTTCTAGGCCGTCGAGAAGGCGCGAAGTTTTGTCCGGGCGTGGCTGGTGGTTGATAAAGTAACCCAGGCCTTCCCCGACGTGCCAGCGGAAACAACAATATTGGTCTACAGGAGGTAGCGTTTTTCCAAAAAATATAAATATAACGTTAACCTTAACTATAAAAACAAATAAATAAATAAGTTATCTTATCAGCGAGTCGCGCACTTGTCCAACGCGACGCTTTTATGTTACACCTGGTATCAATTTTTCCACAGCCCAATATGTCAGCTACTTCAAAGGAAGCGAGGGTGAACTTGCCGTTGCCGCTCTCCAAAGACCGACGCGCTAGCCGGCTTGCAAGCTGCGACACAACGCCCAAATTGAGAAGCTCACTCAGTTAAAAGAGGAGACTATTGTTCGATATATAATCGAGCTAGATGCCCAAGTTTTTCCACCAAGATCGTGTGATGTGGAAGATATAGCTATCTATCTACTACATGTCCGTGACGCGCCCCCTGTCGGTAAACCCTGGGCACATCAATTTGTTAACGCCAGCTAGAGCTCCGCACGCATCAGATGAATCTCGGTCCTCTACTACTGAGAAGGACTCCTGAAGGTATAATCTTGACAATGAGGTTCGGTTCGGTGAAGCCAAAAGGTTCACAACAAGCAGTATTCAAAGATATCAATAATCTTACAATAAAGTTGTAACGGTCTCAGGCAGTATATTGCAACTAGCTGATGACGACTCTACGAGTATATTGCAACTAGCTGATGACGACTCTATGTAACGGTCTCAGGTAGTATATTGCAACTAGCTGATGACGACTCTACGAGTACACTGAACTTGGAGAAGAAAAGGAGAGACGACAGACTTGGTAGCTCGCAAGCATACTTATCCTCGTCGGCGCGCTGGTCTGAGCGCGTTGCTAGAAGGTTCGGTGTGCTGTGGGGCGAGTGGGAATAGCCTCATCAGGGGTCTTGGTATTGGCCGAGAGTCGCCGAGGCTCGCACCGGGCCCAGCCCGTTACAAAGTTGCTTAACGTTACTGAGAAAGCTATTGTGGTGCAAATAGACCTAGAGAGTATAGTTTATATATAGCTTTTCCCTAAGTACCTTCGGACCTGAATCTCTAGGAATATTGAGTGTTTCTATCAGCGCTTCATTCAGTTCAAGTTATCAGACAGATATAACAGTCAAATTCAGACAAACAATCAGAATCTCGAATGCTATTCAACCAACTAGATCAGATTTCAAGTCCTTTGATCTGCAGATTATCAGATCCCCT